GTAGCAGCTTTATAAAGGATAACTCTCATTCCCTTTGGATCCTGATCCATTCGTGGTGATAGTTAATAGCACCTTTTAGCCTAGTGTAAATGCAGGAAAGCATGAGGAGAGAGTAAATGTTTGGAAAAGCACTCCAGAAGGAGAGTAGCAATAGCATTAGGATGGAGCACTGCACCTGTCTGAGGACTACATGCATCCTTGGAGGGCAGTGACCACAGCAACATTCCCATCTCAGCTGCTTTTTTTTGTCTTTTTTTTTTTTTTTTAAATATTTGCACTTGAAAAAGATTTAGCTGTCATTAAAGATAACTTTTAGTGAGTTATGTTCCTATTTACTGGCAATTTCACTCTTCCCTTCTTGAAGGACTTAGAAAAATTGATTTTTTTCAGGCAGGGGCGGTGTGAAAGGAGGTGGTCCATGAATGTTACTTTCCCAAAGAGCTTCTAACCACTGCTGGGGTTCATTGCCAGACTTGTAGTTGCTACCCTTGCCTACAATATGTGTAAAAAATTTCAGTGAAAAAACTCTGCTTTTCCACCATTGTTCCTGATATATTTTGGAATAGGAAAATCTGTGACACAGCACTGTGCAGAAGACACGCAGCAAACGCAGACTGCACTGCGAAATTGATTACTTCGAGTTACAGCAAGTGGGTGTTAGAAAGACATTGCACATAGAAGTGAAACTATCTTATCCTGCCCACGGGTAATCTTGATAACCCAAATTTTATCAAAAAATCTGTCTGATCTCATTTCCATATCCTGATTCTTTCTGTTTAGTAAGAGCAGTCACTTTGGCCAGTTGTGTTTGTTGTGTGTGTTATTTTCTTAAATTCGTGGAAATGAGTGTGATCTTTCTTTATTTGGAGTAATAAAAACAGAGAGATATTTTTATATCAACATCACTGAAATCGAATTTGTGGAAATATTTTGTCTATATGAGGTTTTATTTGATTCTTTAATTCATTTCATTTCCTGAATTTAGATTCAATTATGTTCTTCCCTTTAAATATATTCTGTTGTCCATGCTAGACTAGCTCTTCTTGTGATGGATGCAAATATTAATGAAATCTTGGATCTGGTGTGTAGACATCATTGAACACTTACAACCTGAATTTGTATTTGCTTTCTAGCTCTGGAGAAAACAAATTGTCATCAGTGATGTACCTAAGCAGGTGATGACTTGACTGCTCCGGTGACAGTTTCAGGGGAAAAAAGGATTAGGATGATGTGAGTTTGAGCTGAGGGAAGCATTGCTCCTGTTCTGGATTTGCAGTTTGCCTCTTTTAATACAAGATTTATTATATACAGCATTTTTCTGAGCAAGGTTGAATGTAGGTTTGTATTAAGAGTGACTGCTTTTTCCTAGAAAAAGTAAATGGGTGGAAATGACTATATTTAAATAGAACTTAAACTGTTACTACTTAGAGGAATAGGATGTTAGTTTCTCCCTTCTCCTTTCTCAAGTCCAGGGCTGGGTAGTAAGCAGTAAATCCTTGCATCACAGGTACGTGGACTGAAATCTGTGAAAAAAAGATCACATCCTTAAACATAATACTTGTGCTGATGTTCCAGTACAAAAATTCATAATGTTATTTATTTAAGATTATTTCTAGTTATATGAGTGACAGGAAAAGAATTAGCCAGAAAAAAAAAAAAAAAAAAAAAAAAAAAGAGTAAAAGGCTTAGGGGCACATTGGTGCTATAGTTGTAGGTATGTGTTATGGTATAACAGTTGAGCCTCTGTAGTGTGGATTAGATTTTGTGCAACTCTTCCAGAATGGGGAAACTCCAGAGGACTCCAGAACAGTGGATATGAACACGTAGAAGCCCAAGCAAGGGAATTTGGGTATACATCCATTTTTTTTTTTCCTGTTTCACAACCCATTTTATGTTTACAGTTGTGTTAAACTGCTGGTATTTATCTCAAGGTGCTTTGGCATTTCTGAACTAAATGACAGACTCATAGAATGGTTTGGGCTGGAAAGAACCTTTAAAAATCACCCAGTTCCACCCCCCTGCCCCGGGCAGGGACCCCTTCCCCCAGCCCAGGGTGCTCCCAGCCCCGTCCAACCCGGCCTTGAACCCTTCCAGGGAGGGGGCAGCCACAGCTGCTCTGGGCACCCTGTGCCAGTGCCTCACCACCTTCACAGGGAAGGATTTCCTCCTTATATCTAATCTAAATCTATTCTCTGTCAGTTTAAAATCACTACCCCTCATCCTATCACTCCACTCCCTGACAAAGAGTCCCTCCCCACCTTCCCTGTAGCCCCCTGTGAGCACTGGCAGGCCGCTGTAAGGTCTCCCTGGAGCCTTCTCTTCTCCAGGCTGAACAACCCCAACTCTCTCAGCCTGGCCTCACAGGGGAGCTGCTCCAGCCCCCTGATAATCTCCTCTGAATCTGCTCAAGCAGGTCCATGTCCTGATGTTGGGCCCCCAGAGCTGGACCCAGCACTGCAGGTGGGGTCTCACGAGAGCGGAGTAAAGGGGGAGAATCCCCTCCCTCGACCTGCTGGCCACACTGCTCTTGCTGCAGCCCAGGACGCGGTTGGCTTTCTGGGCTGTGAGTGCACATTGCTGGCTCACAGTCAGTTTTCCACCCCCGAGTCCCTCTCTGCAGGGCTGATCTCAATCCATTCATCACCCAGCCTGTACTTGTGCTGGGGATTGCCCCAACCCATATGCAGGGCCTTGCACAACTTCACGGCCTACAAATGATGGTGAGGACAGCGGAGAGGCAGTGATACAGAACCAGCCATGTGAAAACTAGCACTAGGACAGGGAACAGAGGACTATGGAAGCCTTAGCTGTACCACCAGGTGGAACGTGAGAACAAGAGAAATATTTGAGGGTGGGGTGGGTGATGAGATTACTGCTTTCTCACTACGGAATAAAATTTCCTAATAATTTGTCAGGCTCTACCTTCTCAAGCTAAGATTCATTACTACATCAAAGTGAGTGCCTTGCTGCTAACAGAATGTATGTCTCTATTTAGAATGTAAATGAGAAAAACGTATGAATTAGAGAACATTTAAGGAATTGTGAGTGGCTGGGTGGATGGAGTTAGTCTTATTTTAATAACTGACTTTGACATAATTTGATAATAAGCCCAATTTTTGATTCTCCAATAATTTGAAACGTAGCAAATCGTTACTAGAAGTGTGTGCTGCATTACACGTGAAGCGTACCCGGTTAAGGGGTGTGTGGTGGGTTGGTGTGTTGGTCTGTTTGCAACCTGTCTGCCTCCCTTCCTACCCTCCCGCTGTCGTCTGGCGAGTCCCGGCCGGCCGTGCCAGGGGAAGGCTGCAGCCAGCCTTGCTCAGTGCTGAGTTATGCCAGCCCGAGGACGCTACCCTTTTCCAGAAGAGCACGGGAGCCCTTCAGGGGCTAGGAGACACATGAAAGAAATCATGTATCTCCTGTGTTCCCTCCATCTTCTGCCTGGAGGAGAAATCTGTTTGGAAAAAACCCGTATTGGGTGATTCTTGGAAACAGACACCTGGATGGAGACGCATTCCTGTTGGAAGGAAACCCAGACACCATTTGCACAGATGTGGTTAACACAGGAGGTCATGACCTCATTTCCTATGTCACTGCTTCATCTTAGCCGAGATAATTACATACACATGGCTGTCTAAACATGAAGTCAACAGGAAGGTATCCAGCTACACGTGGTACTCCAAGTAAATCAGATTTGACTGCAACAGCCAGCAGCTGAAGATAACAGGTGAATGTCAGATGTTCCCTGAAGAAATTTATCTTAAAGACAACAAACTTACATTTATTCTTTTTGTCTGTCTCCATGGGCTAATATGACTATAGATAAAACTCATGTTAGAGTATCATAACGTTCGAGTAATAATTGATATAGCATTTAGAATTACTTATTTATAAACGTATTTTAAAACATGACAGAATGAAAACTCTCTGTCCAGGAGAGGTAGCATATTGCCTAAACCATCTGTAGTGGTGGGTTAACACTGGCAAGTCCTGGATACTCTACGGACAACTGGGTGTGGATCACTTGTGTTCCTTGTAAGTATTTAACACTGGTTAAGGCTCTGACCAGCTGCCAGCCCAGCAGGGTAGGAGCTGTAAAGCCCTAGAACTGAGGCTGTTCTGCAGCACTCGGAACCATTGCAAAATGTCCCCGATGCTTTGCTTTTTGTTGTGTTTACCTTAAGCACTTTTTTTTTTTTTTTTTTTTTTTTTCAGAAGGCCTCACCATTATCACGTTTCTGTGCGAGTGTTTCAATAGTGGCTCCTATCCACTGCAGTACAGCTGCAGTTTTGGCGTTTTTGCTGCTGGGGCCTTCCAGAGCTGCTTGGGAAGCCCACGGGCTGTTCTGCACGATGCTGCCTTTGCAGCATGCAGACCAACCTGTTGGCTTGTTCCAAGCTCAGTGGCAGTTCCCTGTACAGCCATGAGCAGGCACCACGAACTGCCCGAATTTCCCAACCTTACAACAAGAGGATTGGCTCTCTCCCACTCCCCCTTGCCATCCTTTTAAACTGTTTGCAAGCAGGGATTTTTTTGCTTCCTGTGTGTCATAAACTGAGGCAGAACTCCTGAGTGGTGTACAAAAACAAGTTTGAAAGATTCATTGCTTGGGTAAGGTTTTGGTTGTGTTTTTTTTTTTTTGTTGTTTGTTTGTTTGGGTTTTTTGTTTTTTTTTTTTTTTTTTTTTTTTGTTGTTTTTTTGTTTTTTTTTTTTTTTTGTTGTTTTTTTGTTTTTTAACCAGGCTGCAAGTGGAGACCTATGTGATCAGCCTTCAGAAGTTCAAGCACGAGGGGGTGCTTGTGCCCTCTCGGTCCTGACCTTGGGCTCTGCCAGAAGGCCCCACGCGCCCACACCGAGCCCCCCGGGACTTCTGTTCCCGGCCGGACTCCTCGGCAGCGTGCTTGCAGGGTTGGAGGCAGCAGCAGCGCGGGCTCTCGGTAGGTGCCCTCCCTCCTGTTCTCACGTGCTACCTGTAAACTGAGATTTCAGACAAGCAGGTGAAGACACACTTCAGTTTTATTGTTGTTTAGGCATGGATAGAAACATTAATTCTTTTTGCGCTCTTGGTTCTTGGAACGTGCCTACAGTGAACTTGGAGCAGTGAAAAACCCAGCTCCTTGGACTGAGGATTTAAAGTGCATAGGACTTCTAGCAGGATCCCCAAAGGCGAGGAGTGGTTGTTAATCCTTTTTCGTAGCTGTGGAAGTTGAAGGACCTTTTGTCTTCTCCTCTCCCCTGTGTTCCCCAACCAGTGGTATGAAAATTTTCAGCCCTTCCCTATGCTTTCCCTTATGATCTTTGGAGGTTTCTTCTCCGTATTTCAGAGCTATTTGTAGTGTCATATAAACAAAGACAGGTGATGTTTACACACTCCTTCACAGGACTTTTCCTGTTTAGAGTCATGCTCGGTGTGTTTGGTTTTGGTTTTGTTGTTTTTTGTTTTTGTTTTTTTTTTTTTAAATGTGTATCACTTGGCAGTGTTCTCGCACCAAAAGAAAAAGATATATTTGTATATAAAGTAACTTTTTTGTGTGTTCACGTTTTATTTTGGAAAAAACAGGTGTTTAAAAATTTTAGAATTTTTTTAACAAAATTCTAAAAAGAAAAAAATCACAATATTTACAGAGATAACAGAATGGCTTAGCCATGCAAAACAAATTACTTTGGTTTTTCCCCCATTTTACTTTGGTTTAAATATTGACCAAGATTATAATTTTTTTCCTTTTGCCAAATAAAACAGTAACAAATCAAACCTTAGAGGCATATAACAGGATTTCCCTCTAATATTTTATACAGCATAGAGTTTATAGGACATCTTATGTATTTAATCCATGCCAATGCACTACAGGAAGCTTTTATTAAGACATCAGTCACTACTGCCCAGACATTTAACATTTTACAAATTTACAAGTAACAGTGTTTTCTTCCCCCTAAGTAATTCAAAAGTGGCAAAATACATTTCCTAACGTCCATCTTTTTCTTGTATTTATTTATTTATTTTTGCCTACCAGTCTATAAAAACTTACTTTTTCCCTGGATATTTGTAAATGGAAACCTGATGTTCTGCTTACACTACTGTTCCTCTCCACCTAAGCTGCCTGTTACTTTCTTCCAGAAACTAACCTTCCATGGAAGATGAAACTTCTCTCCCTTAAGTACAACTTTTTATTGGCCCTTTATCCTAAAACATTTTCTTATCAGTACCATTCTAAAAATTCCCTCAAGCATCAAACATGTTTATAAAGTTACAAACTTGAATGTAACTAAAGATACATAGACGCTTCATTGTTACAATTATATGTACTGTTTGATAAATTAGGTACCAGTTAAAAACACTAAAATTATCTCAAGGTGCATTCAATATCTGTAGCATAGTTAACAAAAACACACAAAAAATATATATATATATATTCTATTTTTGTGGGAAAAAAAATGCAGCTTTGATATGACCACTGTTTAAAAAAAGTTTCCAAATCTGACTGGTATCTTTTTGAAATGAAGAAAAGGTACAGTACTTTAAGGCAGCGGATAACATAAAGGAATCAAAATTAATCCAGAATTCCAGTCCCTTATCCTAATTCTAACATGAAAGACGACTGCTAGCATATCAATAAAATGTGTGTCTTGCTCTAGAAGAAAAGGATTATTAGCCACCGTCTGTATGCAGGCTAGGAATTTCCATTGTGTTCCTTGCTCAATACCCAGACTTCTTAGTGGAAACTCTTTATTCCCTTTCTGGCTGTTTAGCTTTGCATGGTTTTTTAAATGTTCACTTTTATTAACAATTTAGTTTGTTCTTGTCACAGCTGTCACCCTTCCTCTTTGCTGTGATTTCAAAGAAAGGAGTTTGACGTTTTCCTTTAAGACAATCTTACATTCTAGGTACTTGCTACAAAGCAGAGGCTTCACTGATAACAATCAAAATTAGACATGTACCTGCTCAAAGGGTGTCATAAAAATAATTGAAATAAAACCATTACACTATACATCAGATTAACAGCAACTCCCAGAACAAAGCCTTACAGTGTATAAAAATAGCTACGTAAAAAATTTACATAAAGGCAAACAAAAAGAAATCTTCAGTGCAGACATTTACAAAAAAATATTTCAAACAGAACACAACATGGTGACCTATTATCATGGCTGTTGCCAAAATTAGTTTGTGGGTTTTTTTTTTTTTTTTTTAGCTTGAGATAATTGTGTCTACAATCCTTTGAAAACTTGGTAGTATGATCTGTTTAATACTTGAACCATGAATAGCTGTCACTTCTTTGTATATGTTTAAATACAATCCACGTTCATGCTTCGATTGGTCTATATGTATTCTCTGAAAATACAAAAGATAAAGCCAGTTAAACATTTCAAAATATCTTAACCAATGTAACTACTCAGTATCTAACCTTCAAATAAACAGCTACACAAACAGCACTTTCTTTTGCATTCTGAATATGAATCCGTATTCAATGGGTACTTTCTTTCATGGTAAGAATAGCTGTTGAAATATTGTTCCCCCTAAATCCAGTAAGCCTATGTGGTAAGTAATGGATTTATGTCCATTTCATTTATGTAGATCTACTGATCTGAAGAAATAAAGTAATTAGAGTAAAAGATTGCATTGAAAGCACACAACGCTACTGAACTCCAATGTTCAATAAATACCCCCAGGTGACTTCAGCTCCATCTAATCACCTCGATATTGCAGAAGGTACCAGGTCCAGAAAAAAAAGACAAAACAAGCCCTGGCCAAAAAAGATTACGGAATTTTCCCATAGAATTGCAGTAGAAATGCTGGGTATTTACACTGCAACTTTTTCAAGATCCAGATGTGTGTTCCACTTACATTCATAGGGCATCATTTTGGGATTTCCAATTCCCTCTTGCAGAGTGGTAAAACAGTGCTATTACTAGCAAAGTGCAGACAGCAATGCTCTATCTCTTTACATACTATATAATCATTCTACCTAGTGAATTCTGAATATTTAGTGCAAAAGTAGGGCCTTGCGCCTTAAAATTTCAGCCAATACTAACATACTGAAATTACTAATAAGGAGAGCTGTCTTTACTTAAATATGAAACTTTTTAAATGTAAATATGAAATGTGATGATTCCACTTGCAACGCACCACCACCAAGCACTTGCTAGTCTCATTTTTAAGAACGATTGATGACTAACTCAAGAAACCTCAGTATGGTTACCTGGTTTCCACGCTGTTGTGCTACCACAGTGTTAATTTAAAACAGCCTCAGCTGGTCAGAAAAATGAGCTAAACCCCTACTTTGGGTCCTAAGGGCAGAGATGCAGCAGTGGCACATCTACACGCAGCAGTGGTGTATATATGTGCGAACACCGGGTGGTGCTGTTGGTGCTTTGTAGTGCTGTAATTCCTGACAAAACTTCCGCTTCTAGTATCTGTATACAGAGTTTATTTTATACGGATCCTGGCTGGGGACACTTCCATACCTGTTGCATTGTTACTAACATAATATTAGGTGTCTCTTTCCAGGATGAAATGGATAATAGTATGAGTATGCGAAATCTTGAGTAAATGAATGCTTTTCTTCTAGGGAAAGTTTCATGCCTTTTGCAGTGATGATTAATAAGCTGACCAGAGACTTTGAAACTATTGCTTTCAGTAAGGGAAGAAGGTTCCTGTGAACATTTAAAGTCATAATTCAAAACCTTCTAAACTATACCTAAACCTACTCTCCGCATACATACATTACATGGACACACACCCCACAGTGATACAGTATACAAATTCGTATTTTCATTTCCCCAAGCATGTGGTTTAAAATAAAGCCAAGTACTAAGTTATGTCTGAACGTCAGGCCTTTTTAACATGTACACATGCAGGTACGGCTTCTGAACTGGCCAGGGGCCCAGCCTGTCTGTCCCAGTAAAGCACCTCTCACCACGAGGGCGCTGCCGAACCGCTGGCAGGTGAGCCAGACGCCCGGCTACTGCTGAGGTCTCTAGACACGGATCGCTCGGGAGAAATGGGGGCCAGCGAGATGTGAAAGGCTGCGGTGTGAAATGCTTACCTGGAACGATGACTGACACGTTTGGTCTCTTAAGTTTCAGATTTATGATTGTTCTCTTCTAGTTTTTTGTTTTCTTCTATATTTCCAAGATCTTTGTCTACGTGTTTTGATGCTGTCCTATAACGAAAAAATAAGGTCACTTTTGCAAGTCTATAGCATTTTGTTCCATCCTTACATTAACAACAGTGTCTCCTCCCCTCTCAGGAACACATACAATTCTTACAGTTCTGTGCTGGGTGGAGCAATAGGCTTGCATGTGTCTGTAAATAGACCGATAGCACCAGTTCCCCCGCTGGCATTAGTGCCGCAGGAAGTACAGCAGTACCACTGTGTGGGTGTGTTTTACTGCTTGAGGAATTCAGAATTATTTTGAGCTAGCAGACATTTAGTAAGGTTAAACCAAGTTGTGCAGATCCATGTTTCTTGACGAATTAATTGTGTAGCTTGTTTCAATAAACAAGAGTTTTTGCTTTAAGGTGTACTAAAACCTTACAAGTGTGGCTAAGATACCTTGATCAACACAGCAGTCTTTTCTGTACTTCTAGTAATTGATTTTCAGAGCCCATGACAAATGGAAGCTCTCTAAATGTGAAGGAATTAATGAAAATTCCAGCAACACCAAAAAACCCCCACTCTGGCTTCTAGATCTGTGCTACCTATGACTGATAAGCTTTGGGTAAAGAAAAGATTGTGTAAATGTTTGAGGGAGGAAAAAAGAGGCATGCCTCACTTAAAATAGCAGGTCTTAATGCAAGTAGTGGAGATGAATTAATGAGTTAAGTGCTTAGTTTATCTTAGCACAGTAAAACCACTATGCCATTCACTCAACGTGTGAGAACCCTCACCGTCTGCCAAGGTGAAAGATTCCTGCAGTGCTGCGATAACATTGTGAAGGCCGCAATTTTTAAAATGTAAATGGACAAATGTGTTTGAGTGGGACAAAGTAAATCCCTTGTGTCAGAGCAGATTACCGTTATACGTGTTTTTATCTGTGGATAATTTGTTTCCCCTCCAGGAAAGCAACGCCTGTCGTGACGGATTCATGCATATGCTCACCCTTGCTTCAGGGTGAAGACCCGCAGTGACACCGACTTGCAAAATACAATGAAGACACAGGTTGGCAAGATAGTGTGACATGTCACGCTGACACCATGCAGGTACGAACCTTCCAAAACCGCTGATCTGAATTTTTGCTAGTGGAGTGTTTCTGTGCGCATCCTCCATCTGAGCACAGGCCGCCAGCAGTGTCTGAGCACTACGTAGCCCCGAGCAGTACCCTTACGGGCGTACGGTTCCGTTCTTGTCTCAGAAGAGCTTCTGATGGGGTGGCAAACCCACCTAACCCTCACCGCCTCTGGGAGCGCTGCGGAAATGCTGCTCTCTGGGCCGGGGAGCGGTGTTTGAGGTGGAGTGGCAGGGGGGCAGGGGATCCCCGGCCCCAAATCCCACCGGTTACACGGAATGGGATCACTCCAAAGTCCTTTTGGTCCTAGAGAAGATTGTTTCCTGAGTGGCTCTAAGTTTTGACGCTCCAAAGCTGCGTTTACCTTTTACTATTGGTTTCAGAGTGTGTGTTAGGGTTGTGTGGCTGACAGGAGGTGTCTGTGCTCAAAACCCCCTTACTGCAAAGATCTGAACTCCTGCTTATCACAGGGAAATTTAATTTTAAAAATGCTGAGGTTGTATCACATAGTAACTCGTTCTACAGCGATAAGTTTCTGGTGTGCAGTAACCCTCTACCTTCTTCTGGTATTCAAAAACTGAATCATGTGATGTGCATAGAAGGAAACGATGCGAGATGCAATGAAGAAGAAAATTCAGTGCTTTGGTAGAGAATGACCCTCTGTGATCTTAATAACCTTTCACAAATCTCTTTAATCCTAGCAAAAAAAAGAAACAACCCCCCAAACAAGCAATCCATTAAAAATTAAAAAAAAAAGAAAAAAATTAATTAAAAAAAAAAAATTTTGTTTAGGTAGAGCACAGGATTTGGCTTTTCATGTGGCTAGTGAGTCTTTTCCATAAGTAGGTCTTACAGAACTGGAGCCAGTACAGAAAGAGATGAGAAGCTGAAAGAATCTGGACTCAGGCAATGACCTGAGCTGAAATGAGTTGGAGGCGAGGAAGCAGGGCCATGCACGTCTGCCCTCACGTAACCGCGTGTGTCCGCTCTCGGAGACTAGAGAGCAGACTGGACAGACTACTGGCATGGCTCAGTGTGATCCTTTTTTCTGGGCTCTTATCAAGGGTTTTAGGGTGCCCAAAGCAAACTGAGTATCTCATGACCTGACACTTAACAGCGGAGGGAACTGTAACGAGCATTGCTGGTCTTTGATTAGGTTAAAATTGTGCAATGACTAAACCTGGGAGATTCTTCAATGCGATCAGGTTTTGATTTTTAAAGTGTTCTATTTTAGTTCTGCATTTAATGAAACTGTTCCCCTCACCGTCACCTCTATTTTTCTAAAGCCAAAATGGGTGAAAATGGGAGATTTAAAAGGCAGCACTCTGACTTTGAAAGAGGCAGGTGATCCAGAACTCTTCTGCAGGATGGTATATACCGCTTGCTTGAAATGAGAGCAGCAGCAGTTTTTCATGTCTGACAATCAGATTGATTTAGATTCTCAGTGCCCGAGACTGAAATATAGCAGTTTAATTCTGGTGGTTCAGTGATCTTGCTGACTTTTTATTTTTTTTGTTCCCCAAATAAATGCTGATATTGAGGCAGAATGACCACCTCAGCACAAGCAATACTGCTGCCTTTTTTAGTGCTATCTAAATAGCGTTATTAAGAGAGAAGAGTAATTTTGCACTGAGTTGCAGCAGCCTGATCCACTGGCAGTGCTCTGCCAGCAGCAGAGGAATAGGCGACCCTGGCACGGCACCAATCCTCAGGGCTCGACAGACGTGGCCTGGGTTTGTAACAGAGAAATGGCTCAAAACGTGGGTTCCGTCGCTGAGTTGACTTGAGGCACAGGACAAATGGTCCTTTGCCGGCTTAACATTCGCCAATTGTTCCTTACTTTGCTTTGTGCATTAATTCCTGTCAGCTTTGCTCCATCTGCAACTCAGGAGCGACTTCCTGATGCTATCTCAGCAGCTGGGCAATGGGTTCCAAATGGATGGAAATATTCCCCAGGATTTGCCAAAAGACAGCCCACATTGCCCAGGCCATCTCACACACTTCAACATCATCTGCAGCTCCACAAACAAAGCCCACCCCTCAGCGTGCTCTGACACTGTAGTTCTGAAGAGTGAGAGGTTGGACGTATGAATGTAAGTTTACTTATGTCTCTCAACTGCTTTTTTTAAAATTAATTTCTAAAACATGGATCATTCCGAGCACTTGCTAAAATTATGATTAATATTTTACATTTATCTATGCTTGCTCTTCAGGAAAATAATTATCCTCAGGGAATCCTAATCAAAATCTCTCTGTAAGCAGTACCAAAGTGAGGTTTTTAGTTTTCTTTGGAGTGTGTGTGTGTGCTCAGGGGCTGTTATTTTTGTGGATTTTGTTTAGATACTGTTCCTAGCATTTTTTTTTAATATAAAGACCATTTTCCATCTCAATTGTTTAGCCTGCTGTAGAGTAAATACAGACTGCATATAGATGACCCAGAAAGTGGTGTTGGGTTTTAATTCCTGATTTCTTTTAACCTCCTCACACATCGAGGCCTTACCCTCAATGCTCCTTAAGGAAGAAATTTTGCAGTTCTCTTTGTCCTTGTTGCCCCAGGTGGCAATAACGACAGGTAAGAGAACACACATCAGTGTGGTTCTGCTTGCTGACGCAAGGGCCATGAGCCTCATTAAAGCTTGCCTTACTTTTGAAAGGCGTGCTAGACACTCAGTTCCACTGTTGCAAAAGATTTTATAGGAGGTAACAGTCTTATACATCCCAATCTGGATTATCTGCAACCTCCTTCTATTTACCCCAACCTTGCCTTCCACTTCCTCCAATTACTTTCAAATATCTATCAGTAGGAAAAAAGACAGAGGTATTAGAAAAATATTCCAGTCATCAAGAAATGAGTGACCGTTTTTTTGATTCAAGCCTCTTTTGTAGAAGATCTGTGACATGAACTCACATTTTCAGAGATGTTTGTAACCCTGTCTTTTCTCTGGGAGGGAATTGCACAAAAATCAATACAAATGCTGAGTCTTGTTCAAAACATACAGCAAGTTTCCTACATATTTTGCCTGCCCTGTTTGAATTCATATGCTTATTTCCTGTAAAGTATCAGAGAAGCAGAACTGTTATGCTTCAAATGTTCTGTTTCAGAGAAATCAGTAATATTTTTGATTACTGTGACCTAAAAAGAGTTTGGTGTGCTCTTAGCATGAACAATCTGAAGACTGCTGCTGTGCTTCAAAATGCCCAGCTGAATTTTCCTTCACTGCATTTTAAACCACTTGAACCTTGATCCAGCCTCATGTGACTTGAGATTTGTGCACCTCTAAATGCAAGGAGCAAAAATGGGACAAAGGTCAAATCTATATACAAAACTTCTATGCCTACAGAACAGAGACACAGGGCGCTGGTTGCATTCTCTTCTAAATCTTTAATTCCTGCTGTACTCTCAGCTGTTTCTGGCAATGTGAGGACTTCATATACAAAGGATTTACTGAAGATGGGTGTCCTAGAATCACTCAACTGAGGTTTGAGATGAACATTTTAGAAAGACACCGAAGTCCTAAGTTATATTATGTTTGGTGCAAATTAGTTTAAAATCTCCTTTTTGAAAAAAGGAGAAAGCTGTAGAAAACAAATCTTTGGCCTTCTGCTCAGATGAAGGAGAAACATGGCATGCTGGGGTAGGTAGCCTCAACTCTTTATTCATGAGGGGGCTGGTTGCAGAACAGTGAATACAGATGAGTCCCTGATTTATGGAATAATATTCATAGTGAAAAGAGTATGTGGCAATAATCAGCTTTTGCATCAAGTGGAGCTGAGGCAGTAAATAACTATGTAAGTGATTTATTGTGAATATGTTCCAAGGCTACAAGTATAATTCCTACTTAGTGTGGATGACAAGACAATAGAAGATTATACAAACCACAACACCAATAATGAAAAAAAGTAATGTTTTTCTTGCCTCGGCAGACTTGAAAAGTTCTGTGCTGCTGCCTTCTCAGACTTTCCTTTGGTGTCACTTTGGGGATAGAGATTAGGTGAGTTACTGTTCAAGGATGGGTTCAAAAAATAGCTACTAAATGTTGGCCTGTATGGAGATGTCAGGATTGTGACTAGACACAGGTTGTGTCTAAAGGCATAAGGTGCTTTTTGCAAGGTTTACTTTGATTTGTAGGCTATAATTAATAATGAAAACTTTGTCAGAATAGGTACTGACACTCTGCTCGCTCTTGCAAGTACAGTGTGCAGAAAGCAGGGAGGGTAACAACAGATCAACTTAAATATATGCTGAGAACAGGAGATTGTCAGTGATGATGCATCAATTAAGGGTTTCAGAGGTCAGTAACCATGTATCAAATACGGAGATGATTATTTAACTCTAAATGGTTTTTTATTTTGTTCCTAGTGCACCTGTCTAATCAATTCTAGCTCTAATTTTTACTCTAAGCTTCTAGAAGACAAGTTGAACATGAGAAGTGTTGTCCATTTTAGAATACGCTGTATACTGTCTTTGAAGCTGAAAAAATTAACTCATAAACTTATCTCAGCAAAGGACATGCTATATTCTATCATTCTTCTTATCTCTCCCCACACTACCTAATGGTACAAAAAGATACTTTACCTTCTTTGCCCTCCTTATATCCAAACCACCCCTTACAAAAAAATCCAAACCAGTGAACCACAGTTTCATGATTCCACACTCTCATATTCAAAAAGGAAAGACAAAAGAAAATTATTCCAGACATTATTAGAGTAGTAGCAAAGTGTGGGAGGAGGAGTTCAATGATATTATTACTTCTTAATTTTTACTGAAAGAAGCATAAGCTCTGCAAAAAAAAAAAAAAAAAAAAAAAAAAAAAATTCCTGTATAATATCTGAATGTGGTTTGGTGCTTGAGTAATTTATAGCAATTCTTTATTTGCAGAACTTCTAAAAACTGCTTGGTTATGGCTGGAGTAAAATCCTTATTATCCAAAAAAGCGTATTTTCAAGCAGATGGAGAATTCCTTGTATTTTCACATCAATGCAAAAACATCAGTTCATAGTAAAATCCTACTGCTATATTTTTAGATCTCATTTGATCTAATTTTAATGAAAGGTCATAGAAAGAACAACTGAACTTTAAGACTGCCTCTATACCTGTACTGATTTGTGCATGTTATGCATAACTACCTTAATTTTCCCTGTTAAAAAGCAGCTGTAAGGAACCCTCTACAGAGCAAGCCTGCCCTCAGTACTCCCTGGAGACAATGTATGGGGATAAGGCCAAATGGCATACAGTCAACAGTCCTCTTTAAAAGGATGAAGAAACATGGTTACTTTCTGAAACCATTCAGTTTATTTTCTAAAGTGAGCCCGTGTGATAATAAACAAACTTGAAAGCAAGCAGGCCTCTCTGGAAAATCCTGTTCTACGCCTAGCAGGGCTAAAACATACTGATTGGGATGATAGCTTCTAGACTTCCAGCAACACAAGGTCTATCCTTACCAATTCTGCTTCAGAGATCTCAAAGTATATATGAACGAATGAATTAAGGATCTCTCTTCTCCCTGAGATGGTTTAGACTTATTCTGTGATTCATCCAATTTTTAAAGCAAACAAGCTACCCAACTTCTAAATGAAGACATTTTCTAATACCAGTAAAGCCACACAGAGTTAACATCCCACAATGAAGTACCAGGTATTATATTTAAATGCAAGAATCAGCACAGACTAGGCTGTCAGGAAAGGGAACCTCATTACAGGTGGTGATCTATGAAAAGTCTTGGAACCACATGTCCAGGAGATGTGTCCTATTAAGCATTAGGGCAAGCCTACCAGAGGTACCAAGTTTCCTTTCTCTATTAAATGCACCCACTGTAACAACTTTTCCCCACTGAGGGACTACTGGAATGCTGCAGGAAGGAAAATAGGTAAACATACATTTCTGCTTATCGTTATTCTTTTTTCAATTTAGTATCAAGTTTTCCATAAATTCTTACTTTGATTTCTTCACATAGAGCCAGTAGACAACACCTGCAACCAGAGCAGCCAGCAGAAGACCGACTACAATCCCCACTATTAGTTTTGCCTGGTCATTAACCTTTTCGCTATTGTCATCTGAAGCAAAGAAGAAAAGTTAATGAGGTGACCTATGATAAAGTAAACCATTACACCATTTCTAAAGAATTTCCAACAGAAACAAGAAAAGAGGTCAGAAAGTCAAAATAATAATAATAAAAAAAGGTAGGTGTTATTCTTAAAAGCACATTTAAATCTTTAAAAAGTAACATTCTTAGTCAATCACGGCACCACCTATTTCAAATCAAGTCCAACTCTGAGTGACTGTGGAAACTGTTCAGTGTCACTACACAGGTCTTGAACTAAGACAATCAAGAGAAAGGGTTATGGAGACAGAAAACCATACATACCATTTCTATCCTCTGGCTCATCATATTCTGGAATACTTACTGAAATGAAAAATGTTAAAATTAAATTAAAGACAAAATGTGTTGTACCTGAACATCACCTTAAATTACCTATTTACAGCAATCACAGAAACACTGAAACTTAATGCAATGTTTGCCAAACAACAAGTTAATTAATCTTATCTTTAAGCAGAAGTCTTTCCTTTGCAACGGTAATATATCCCATTGAAGAATCTTATTCAAAACCTGTAATATTAATCTCAGAAATATTTCTGACTATTTCTGTGCTACCCTTCCACAAACTGTAGCTTCTCAGCACCTTTCATCACTGGAAATTGACGTTTGATTAAAGCCCAGTATGGCTGATTTCTGTTCTAAACCAAGTCATACCAGTAATAATAAACTGGAATTTGGGAACTAAAAGATGATGTTAATTTAGTAATAAAGACTTTTGTCTTGTAAATAACGTAAATGATTTTGCAATATTTTTGTACTATTATGTTGTAATATTATTTACCTTTGTAAATAATATATTGCATACATGAGATAGCTAGCCAAGAAAGTCATGAAGACTAAGTGACTTCATCCAGAAAGCTATCAATAAATTTTACATACTACTGATCCATAGTGGATTTACAATTGATGGACTTAAGACAAAAAGGTTAAATATCTTAGGTTAAATATTACTATGTAGACCTACTCTTCATATGAGTGTGAATTGTGGGTACTTTATGTGGAATTATAACTTTAAGGTCTTTAGAAGACACTCACTAGCAGAGACATTCAGGGAGGTCACAGTCCTTTCTAGCTGATTTTCTGCAATGCAAGTTAAAGTCACATTTTCCTCAGGAGAAATTACAATTTTACTGGAAAATTTTCCATTAACATATTTGGTCTCCTCTGTCTGAAAAGGTAAAAAATTAAGATTAGTATCCTTGAAAAATGCAAAGAACGATACACGCATTGCCTGTATTACACACCGAAAATGTTCAGAGGAAAATAACTTTCAACCAATATTTCAGTTTTCCAAATAATAGCAGTAGAAATAATACATTACTTTATTAAGTGGTAATGTGAATATCTGCAAGAAAACACTTTGGCCAAGATATTTAGCTATAGCTACATTTGGTATAGCATGCACTGTAAGGCCACTGATAAAGAGGCATTTTTGAGAAAGCTAACCGTGTTATATACTTGCTTTTGTTTCTATTTAAAAAATATTCCAGGTGTCAAAATTCTTAAAGAAAAACCCAAACCCAAACTCCTAAGGTCTCATTTCTTTCCATTGTGCTGTTTTTCATTTATGTCTTTATAAGGAAAACATTCACTGTAAGTTTTCTACTTTCTAGCTTTCCAAGTTGTCTCCCCACTAAGCATTATCTTGCCAAGGTACAGGCATTTAGTAGTACCTGCAGTATCTGTACTGTAATAGTGACATGAAGTTGTTTCTTAAATTTGCTGTACATCATTCTTAGATTAATACAGTGTCCAGAGAAAATTCTTTTCAATCATTTATATAGTTTCAATATGCTTCCTGCCCTATAGCTTCAAGTAAATGCACAGATTTTGACAGCTATACATAATTTCTGTAGGATTAAAGCAAAACCTAATGGAGTAATGAAATCTACAGCAGCACCATGCACTGTACTTGCAGTCTCTGACTGCTTGTATAGATGTCTCATTCATTTTTCCTGCTAAGGCAAAATGTGGCAATGCTTTGTATGTGATTTGGTAATCCATGTGAAAATCCTTCCGTTTGCTTATTTTCCAGGGATTTTTCCTGATGTATATGGGTATACCATATTTCTCCTCCAGGATGACTGTATTATGGCTCTGTTTCCAGTGAGAAACAACAGGTATAACCATACAAAACCAACTATAAAAATCAGGATAAAAGCAGCAAAGCCCATAAGGAACTATATCGACTGTATTTTCTGACTTGTACTTGGCACATTGCACTACATCTCACCCAGTTAATGCCTACATCAAGTACCCATTTGCCTGCTAATGTAAGTTCTATAGTTCGATCATTATTTGTAAATTCCTTATGCAACAGCCAACACACCACATTACCCAGATAAAGCGACTAAGTGTCTTCACTTAAGAATGCATGTAATTTGTAATCTTTTCTTTTTTCCTTTCAGCTTCAGCTTGTAGCCAGTGGATCTTCTGTGCCTTCACCTGCTCTATTCAATAAAGCTTTATCATCAGAAATCACCCACATAAGTACCATGTAGCTACAGCCACCACTTAACCTTTCTCTTAGATAAATGAAATAGACTTAGTTTCTTTAATCTCACTACCTGGAAAATGTTCCTTGATTTTTAAATCGCACCTCCTAGGCACTATTTTTTGGTGAATAAAGTAGTAAGAAAGATACTTGCTTTATTTATGATGCTTCCACTACCAGTAACTGTCCATTGCACTGCTGGTTTGGGGAAACCTTCCACATGGCAGACAATTGTTTTAGACATTTTATTTGTGTTGGTTTTCTTTGTCATTTTGATTTGAGGTTTTCCTACAAGAACAATATTATAGTTAACCATTTTGTTTGAAAAAGACAATTAATAATCATAGCTATCTGCTCCCTTACCTTCCACAATAAGTTTAAGTGTCTTTCTTTTCTTTAACCCTTCAACCTCCTGTAGAGTAGTTTCACAGATGTAGTTTCCAGCATCTTGATACTGAAGACTTGAAAACGATGGACTTGTTTGCATTCTGATATTATCCTGATAAAGTAAGGAGTTAATCTTTGTGAATTCTAACTCAAAATATATTAACCTCTCAATTACAAGTGTGATTACTATCAACAGAATTTTTCACGTGCTTTGGTAGATTAGAGCCTTACTCTTGAAGTGGTGCCACGTCCCGTCCCCTCCACCCTGCCATTAATAACTACATGTGAATAGCTGACAGCAACATAACAGCATGAAAAGCAGAAACTACTGGAGATTTATAAAAGCCACATTGCTGCTTCTTGAACAATTTCGCTTTCAAATCCAGGGCATAGATGGGATCAGTTATTGGGTCTGAGCTTTTCTAGTAGGCTGGCCAAAACCACTAGTGGTACAAACTGGTTGACACACAGACGACTCTCCTCTAGGCCAGGCTTATGAGATCAACCTATGTTACTGAACAACCATCAGGTACTATTTTTAGTTTCCAGCAGTACAGGTTTAATTTAAACCCACCACCTATGATAGCTACCTTCTTCACCAGCCACTGAACGCCAGTAGCTAGCATCTAATCTCTCAACCTGCCTTGCCCTTTTATTATGTTTATTGGAACTAAGACCAAGCTTGCCTCTGAGAAAACAATGAACCCAAATTCTTCCAAACAGGCTTCCTGCTTACAGGGACCTGATTCTCAAAGGGCCTTGTATAGACCTTTTCAAAAAAGTTATATTTGTGTTACAGCAGGCATTACTTCTCTCCATGTTGAAAACCAAGCTGATAATTACAGTAACTGATTTTCGGTCATCGACTTGAGTCAGTAACTCTCATTTTAGCCATATGTGTAAGACCCCTTCTAACAATATTCTTTAAAAAGCCCAGTGAACAACTTCCTTCCAAAACACTGAAGTAGCAACAGTAATACGAAGAGGTGAACACTCAGATGAAGCGTGAAGTAGATGAATTACTGACCTTTATCCAAAACACAGTTGCATTTCTACTAGACGAAATCGTGCATGACACAGGCAGGGCCTCTCCGATCTGTTTTGTGACTTCTCCGCTAGGAGTAAGCTGCAAATCCAAATCTGGGATAGAAAGAACATTTTTCAAAAGTTAATCTCCAAAAGCCTGGCCCATTTCAAAGGCTTACCAAGGAAAGAAAATGTGACTAATTGCACTCATTAAATTCAAGATTTCTTTTCTTCAATAAAATCTAAGTCAATTTTACAAGTAAGGGAGAAGAGAGAATTATTCTAAAATAGGCACTGCAGAACATTCATGTTTTTTGCTGTAATTATAGGCTAAAAGGAAAAGCAAAAGCTCACTAATCACCAGACAAATGGATACATTTTTTTTCACCTTGTACTGCTGAAAGAATGACAGAGGAGGTACAAGAAGCTGAAGGAGTACTTCACAGAGCAGTATGTACATTTCAAAAGGGGAAGCACAGACTGCTGTGCGGGTGGCTTGCTATGGGCCAGGTAGAAATGTATCTTCAGGGTAGGACCTGTGAAGGTGGGGACAGATTAACCTAAACAGTAAGTGTGGAGAAGAGGGTAGGAGGAGAATGGGCAACTTTCTGGAATCTGATAAAACAAGTTGATTTTTATCCTCAGCATCTGGAGACAATGAGGATGGTCAATACAGGGTGTGAGGCACGACACTGACTGAAGGGGTAAGGAGTCTGAATTGTAGGGTTGGGGGACCACACATGAGGCCCCTTTATCTGTTTTCATTTGCAACTTAAAATACCATTTTGGTGTAACCCAAAGCCCAAGCTTTGCCTCACCTCTTTCAGCTCTACAGAAATTGCAGTCAGCCATAGCTGTGCTTGACACAAGGCAGAGGGAGCACCAGTAACAGATCAGGAAACACTGCTCTAAATTTTTCTTAGTATATGGATTTGGCAGGCTAGTGATTTTTTTTTTTTTTTTAAATCCTATGCTGAAAGAAAAGCAGAGTTTGCCAAGCTAAACCTCTATTTTGCTTCTCCTCTCACAGTGTCTTGCTTGTAAGCCAAGTTGCCTGGTTGAACGACTAGCACAGATGCACACACACACATGCTCTCAAATGGCAAGCACACACAATTTCATCACGAACATAGTACCTTCTGGAAAAGGACTGCATAAATCCTTTTGGCTTTTAAGCAGAGTATAAAAAAAAGCTTGAGGCAAAAATCACAGTTGGTAGAGAAAAGGGAAAACAGTGAGTTTTCCTTAACAAAACAGTGAACTTAGCTACTGGCTTCATTCAGTGGTTGCCCTGGGAACACCACTGTAATTAAAGGCAGAACTTCAGGGAACAACTAGGGTCCATTCTGTACTATTAGTCTGCATTATTATCTGTTATGAGTCTAATGCCTAGTCCAAGAGGTCACAAGAACTGTACTTTCATCTGCGCACGAGTAAAGCAAAGATCTTACTGAAGAGATAAAATAGCATTTTGTTTCTGTATTCCTATGGGGATTTCTCCCCCTGCCTCCCCAAACTAGTAAATGCAACCAAACTGACAAGATTCTCCAGATCTTACCATTGATTCCACAACATAAACCAGAATAAATAAATAAATAAATAAATAAGACAAGACTCAGCCAGCGACCATTTGTATATAGATTCAGAGGGTGTATGGGATGTGTTTCTTCTTGCTATTACTCTTGAGCACATACTACCAAGGCAGAGGGATGGCTGAAGAAAAAGCTAAGTTTTGGGTGGTTGATTTTTTTTTTTTTCCTTCAGGGTGACTGTCCTTCAATATCTACTTAAACCTTTTTTTTTTGAAACAAGATAGTACCTCAAACCCAAGAGATCACTGAAGATCACACAGGAGAGATTCCTCTCACATATGCCACAGGAAGCAGAAACTCATTAAATTTTTGGCCTTCATCTCAGGCAAGACTGACACTGAGCCCAGAGCAATGCTTCAACCCAGTCTTCTTCCAGGGTAGCATGCCCCCAACACCCCCTGCTTTTTGTGTTCTAACTGAGACTACACTCCCCCTCACACAGTGGTCTTGGTTGCTATAGAATTTCTGGAAAATTTACAGTGTGTGAGATGAACTGCATAGCTGAGAGCAATATTTGTAAGGTGATTTATGAGGCAAGTACAGAATTAAGCTACTGTTTAACACAGGATCTCCTCTAGGAACTCTACATAAAGCAATTTGATTTGGATTAATATTCTGCCAGTTTATCTGTAGGGCCCACAAAGAAATGTGATGTAGATACTTTTACCTCTCAACTTATATGCTCCATTAGTAAATAATCTCCTCTTGGTATGGAAGTATGAGGAGAAATTATTTCTTGCACACAGAAAACTGTCAAAATTAATTTTCCTTGCCCTCAAAAGAAAAACTTTGTTGCAAGAATTTTCCATACATTTCCCATTTGGCTTTGAAATGTTCATGAACAAACTTCTCATCAGGCACCATTTTCAATACATGCTAGCTCTTAATGTGGTCTCACTTGAAGTCTTGCATTGATTTCAGTGCTGCCTTTGCATACCAAGTAGCACAGAGAAGAGACAAAGAGTGCATTCTGCATGTATTACCACATCATGTGAGAGAGGTATGGAATTAATGTGGGGAAGACTGGAGCAAACATTTCTGTTTTCAAACTCCATTGCATATATAGGGCAGGCTCCCAGCATTTAAAGGAGGTCTCCTATGGAATACTGTGCTGTGACTGGGAAAACTATGCACAGCACTTGCCTGTGGTCTGAACTCCTCAAATATGCTAGCAGACAATCAGAAACTTCTCATAGTATACTGAGAATAGATTATTTCCATGCAACATTCAAAAGGTGATTTCCCCTGTATTTTCAACGAGTCTGTAGCGTAAGACTATAAAAAATACATAGGAAGAAATAGAAATTTAACATTTCTAAAACCTATAATTTATTGGAAGGCTTGCAAACCTACTTCCCCAGAAAACACAGTTTAGCAAAAAAGGAAAGCATCACTAAGTAGAGATTCCACAGCCCTACTCCATAGTGGATTTTACATACAGAAACAATTATTCAGGATATAAAGAAAAGGAAGCTGCTGCTTCCTAGCTGGGGAAGGTATACCTGTCCCCTACTGCTAGGTGCTCTCCTTGACTCACACAGGGTGTGCTTCTATAGCAGTTTAAGTGGTTGTAAACAGTTTTTTTTTTTTTTTCTCAGCCCCTTCCCTTTTCCTTCCTGGTCTCTGCCAGTTTTGATCATCTGATCCTGGGCAAACTCACTCAAGGAACAGAGCTGGCAGAAAATTAACAGCTCAGTGTGAAAAAACCAAACCCACACCATAAATCCTGTTCTGTTGCTCCCTCTGTTGAGGGACAAATCAGGCCAACCACAAGCACTCGGTTCTGCCAGACTGTAAACTGGGACCTTGCTGCACACATCCAGCACCCGCTCGGAGGGGCGAGAGCTCAGGTTGTTCAGTTTGTCCTTTATGTTCTGGGGGTAAGGAAGAGACTCTCCCCACCCTCAATTTGCTTTATAAATAAAGTATTTCCCTAAACAGTATGGGTAGCTCAGATGTTCCAATGTCAATTTTCAGCTTTCTGTGAATCTCATAATATACATTAATCTTGGATAAAAAGAGCTTTGTATTGAGCCAGAGTATTCTGCTACAAAAATATTTAAGGGCTATAATGTGCTAATGTATTTTCATACCAGCAAGAATCTTTCCCTCCCTAGACACTGAAAGGAACCAGTGTAATTATAATGCTCAATAAAATCTGTTTGGGAAAAAGCACTACAGTTGAAATGTAAGAAGTTACTATAAATAGTTTCACAGATTTAAATTAAAATTATTATATTGCCTGGGTTTTGTGGTGTTTTTTTAAAGTGAAAATAAAAAAATCTGAAGTGCCAAGATCAGATGTGAGGAAACAAAAAGACCTGACCCAGAATGAGGGCTTTCTCAGTGTAACAGGAGAGAAGGGAATATTCATCCGTATGTGAAAAGTTAGGCAATAAAGGAAAACAGGGACAAAAAGAAGGATTTGAAAGGCATTAATAAGTATTATTTGAAGGACAAAAACCATCATAGAGGCATAAAAAAAAAAACTGAAGATCTAACATGAAAAATATATAAGTACATTAGAAGGAGAAGGCATTAAAAATACTTTGTTATGCTGGAAAATTAATATAAAGTAAACATTTGAAAGACGAAGGAGGATATTATAAAAAATCTACAAGTTTTATGACTTTTTCAGGGAAGTTCTTCTTAAGGAAACATGCTGCAGAAATGCTTTAGACCAGCATAAGGCAAGACACCAAAGTAGCTTAAAGATAGGGCATGGTCTGGGCATTCAGGAATTGAAGAACCACTCCAGGTCACCGCGCCTCACTTAAGCAAAGGCTTTATTGCAGATCAAGGTGTTTAAGAAAAACAAACAAAAAAACCCCAGAATGAACTGTAAGTGAAGCAAAGCAGTAGGGTACTAGGTTGTCTCTATGAGTTCTGAGTAGCTGCACTAGCTGCCAACACTGGAATGACTTCTGTCAAGAAAATACATGCTTCTCTCATGTAGTAAAGCTCTTCTGACACACAGACAAAATAGCAGAGAAAGGAAAACTGGCTTGTTATAAATAACTTGGAGCTGAGGAAGCCATTCTTTAGAGTAACTATTTATGGAAGTACAAGTAGACAGGCAATCCACTTGGAGTAAAAGAAAAAGGTCAGTTATACCATAGCAAACTATCAGCAAGCTATGTTTGATACTGGGAAGCCAGCAGCAGTAGTACAGATCTCTCTCTTCAGGTCGCACATACCCTGACTTGGCAAAGAGAAGGGGTGTGTAGGAAAACAGCAGACGACCTTATTGAATGCAAAATAATTAATTAAATGGAATAGTGCAATTATTCACGTACAGGTATAGTCTGCATGCACTGTACCTCTTCCAAGAATAAAAAATATCAAAACCAAGTATACAAACATTAAGTTTCTTCTCATGTAAAGTATAACTATTGTGGAAGCCTTTCAACTTCATTATCCATCATGTCCCTCTGAACTTGCAATCTATTAAAAGTATTTATGCTACTGGGAAGACTACAGACCAGCAATGTTTTTAGGGGAAACCTAGTACTGTTTGCCTGAGTCCCACTTCACAGCCTGTGATAGTACAGCAAAGTTTGAAAGAGTCCTACTCTTGTTTTCTCACATAAAGAGACTAAAAGAAACCATTGCTTCAATGGTTCAACCAGTTCAATAGCTGCTTTTAAACAGTTGCTGAAGAAGTGTGAGTAAATGCTTTAGTATCCAGCTCAAGAAACTCTACTGAGCTCTGTAGCTGTCATGATTCTGGGAAAAGTGAAAAAAAACAGTTTGTCCTACATGAACATGTTTCTAGACTCCTTACACATTAACCTCATTGAGACAAGATGAAAGGATATTGGACTAACATGAATTTGAGACTATGAAGAATGACCTTCAGTGATACCACTGCAGGCAGCTTGTGTGTCTGAGTACATTCTAAGGCACAGTTGGTGCAGAATAATGTGCCATATATATGTCTACATGAGCGAAACATGAAATACCAGAATTGTCACTGTATGTGACAGTACAATAAAAGGTTACGTAAAGTGAATCTGTATCTAAGGCAACAAATGGAGAAGGTTAAGGTTTTTAAAGAGAAATACATTAGAAAAAATAAAAATGACCTGGCACTACTTCAAACCATATCTTTCAGTTCTCCTGTAAGTTAAACTGGAAGGTCCAAGATAAGTTTGTATCCAAACTAGGAGTGCAAAACTGTAATGACTTACAGTGTACAGTGATGGTGGTCGAGTCCATCATGCTTTTGTCAGTCAGAGAGCACTTGTATTCTCCTGTTGCATTTCGCCTCACATCTGTCATTATGTACATATCTGAGCTTCTTATGCCTTCTGTTTCTCCCTGTGGATGGGAAAGAAAATATTTACTATATATGGTCCTGCTAAAAACATTAACTTCTGTTGAGGATTATTTTTTTTTTTTTATTATAAGGATGGTGAAATACTCCAAAATACGTATAGACACAGCATCATCGAGGCATAGTTACCTATTAATAATACTAAGGTTTATTTCCTGCATGACACCATAGTTTTAAAAAGCACCTACAATTAAGAGCTTACTCTTTTAACTGAATTTAACTCTTATTTTAAGAGGACATTAAAATACAAAATTTGGAAGCTTAGCAGACAGAAGGGGAGAAAACGAAAGAACCAGTCTACAAATAAGACTGTTGCAGAAATCACAACAGCAAAACAAATTGTGTTTCTAAATCTGTATCTGAAATGATATATTCAGTTCAGGAAAAATCATGAAATGAAGCATACCGCATTGCACATTTTTAAACAGCGCAAGGAAACCTTGCTCTAGCCACATCATGGTATGGAACCTGTTAGGGTATGCACTACCTTATATGCAGTTATCAACAGAAACTGGTGTTTTGAGTTAGTCTGCAAGTGCTGCTCTCTGGGTGTCCAGTTCCCCAGTTTCCCTCTGATTACAACTGACTGACTTGGATCAGCTTTGAAACAAGCATATAGAGAAACCCTAATTCTGCTCTCTGTATCCAGAAAGAGATTTACAATACCTGTGAGTCTTGCAAAGAAATCACCAATTCCAGCTCTCCTTAAGAGAAAAGACTAGTATCAGGTAGTAGGGAGACTGAAGATAAGACGAAGTTGCATGTTTAGCTTGCTAGATAGTGGAGCAAGAAGAGATACCATACACTTTTTCCCTGGCATATAGTGAGTTCCTAGGATGACTCACTGAATCTAAACGGCTGTTCTGAGATAAGAGGACTTCAGCTTCTAGTTTCCCTTGCTGCTCTTCAGCAATTCAAACGTGTCAGGAGTCCAACGGAGGTGAGGATTATGTTAAAAGGGTGACGTGCAGGTTTTGGAATACCTGAAAGCATGCCACTGCTTCTAGCCTCTCTAAAGATCAGCTCTGCTCACTACTGCAGTATGAACAATAAAAGGGATATAAAATAGGAGAGAAGCAGGACACAGGAAGCAGGAGTAGCAATCTTTGAATATAAAGCCACATCTCTCTGTGGATTTCACCAATACTAAGAAGATTAATGGTATCAAAGCCTTCCTTTTTCTCAATCTGCATTTTATCATTTGACAGATTTGTTCTATACTTTCTCCTGTGCTGTCACACATGTTCTTTTTTGTGTTGTTCTGCCAACAAACAATTAATTAACCAAAGAAAAGAAATTGTGCAAAGAATCATCTCTGAAAGTCCAAAAAACAGCTGAATTAATTTCCTGTACTATCACTACTGGTTCTTTGTCTTTTATGAGGTGTTTTATTTCAAGATGCTAAACTGCTTTAGTCAAAACAGCTTCTTATCAAAGTATCCAAAGATGAGAAATGAAGCCTAGCAATTTTTAGTAGGTCCAAACCCCAAACACCTTTTTGTGGGGTGGGAGGAAGGAAAGATTTTGACAATTCAGGTGAGGTGTTCTCAGAGTCTGATGTAATGGCCAATGTCTACCTTCAGTTGTAGTTGCACTGAACTCCTTCCTTCATTTGTTACAAGATCACGTATACACTGACATGTAGCAATGTCTGTAGGAAGGGATGATACAAAATATTTCACTACGCAGTGACAGCGAGACAGGACTTACTGGAATGTAAAACAGGAACTCCTGTGGAGGAGGGTTGCCATTTCCTGAGCACTTTAGAGTGATGTTATCGCCTTCTTTAATGATATTACTTTGTGTCAGCACTTGAATAGTCACCTTCTCTGTTGGATCTGTGAAAATAATGTATACATTTAATAGCTTCTGCAAAAAAACACACAGTAACACTATGCATACGATATTCATGGCCGAAGAGTATGCGATTTTATTATCAAGCAGGTGAAGTTATCTGCACGTGTAGATCTTTCTATGAAAGAACTGAAGTTAATCTCACTTCCTAGATTTCTGCCAGTGAAGTAAATGCAGACATATAAAATTCATTTTTCTTTGTCAAAATACCTGTATCTGAAACAGCAATTACAACCATGTCATATGCTTAAAAGAAAAAAAGCCCTGATCAGTATGAAGTTTCCCAGCATGATTTCATTATGAGGGATTAACTTGTCCTCTGTGAAGCTCACTGTTTGGAGGACTGCAGCACTCAGAAAAACAACTGAAGCTCTCAACGCCTTACATTAGTACTAGATAATAGCTTTCTTGCATTAAAAAGAAAGAAATATGAACTAAGTGGCTACATTCAGCCTATTCTATATGCTGATCACTAGGGGCTTTCAGAAAGATGAATCTGGTGAACATAATAGGACCCTTAACATAGTCAACAGAACTGTAAATGTAACATACTTCTGTCATGTTCAGTGAAGTTGAACTATAACTTACATTTTACTTTGGTAATTTTTTTTAAGGAAAAGAGTATACTTTAAAAGATGCTATTCTTTCTAACTAGAAGCCTAAATATATTTTTTTTCCAAAACAAAGTAAAATGAACAAAATTAAAGAAAATAATACGGGCAGATAACTGTCACTGGTTTAATTTCAATGACTAAATAAAATTCCACCAATGATGACAGTCTTGCATTAAGGCACAGTACAGTGCACCTTACTAGACACTAAAAAAACCTCTAGATAGCAAAGAAACCCTTGCCTGACAGTTGATTTTGTGTGTTTAGTGAAGCGTGTGCTCTACAGCCCTTCTGACCCTTAAGTCATTCATCATGTCTGTCTTCTGCTACCGGATTTCTCAATAATGGAGCTGCGTTCTGCTGTGGCCTCTCGATGACTGAGAGCCCATAACACAGCATCTCACTCCTCCTCACAGGAGGCAGGGGTACCAGGCTTCAAAAAGCCACATCCTCCCTCCTTCAGCTCCCTTCCACATCCAAGCAGCCTCCAGCTGAAGCACGACTTTGTCTGCTTAGGAAAGGGAAGTCCAGCATTGCTGCTGGTGTAGAACACAACAGATGCAATGAAGTAGCTGGCCAGGAATCACACACACACCTCTTGCAAGCTGCTGGGCCAACAAACTCAGTTTCAGGGGCTGTCTGGTGAGCTAGCCTGCTGCAGAAACTTGTCTCTCCTTCTGCCAAGTTTATGTGAAGGTGACCAAACGTGAAAAAGTTATAAAGGATGTCTAGATATACTCTGGAATTGCTTCGGCTTTGTATCAGGACTGAAAAGGGATGAATCATAATGAGGAAGACTTTAGGGCTTAAATTTGAAAGAGGTTTTCCCACAGAGATGGACAGAACTGGATTAAAAATGGACCCAGTTAAACAAAAATGACATTCTTGCAAACCACCAGTCTTTCCTGTAGGAATAGCTTACCCTTTTATCTACTGCAATCAACCAGGAACAAATTTTTAATTTCATTCTCTAAACTGGAAAAAAAAAATCTGCAGAAGTAAATATCAAAAGACTAATTAAATTGTTCTCTAAGGTGAAGAGGTCGAGAAAGACACAACCCGATGACAGGAGGATACAGTGTTCAATGCAATGCTGAGTGCTACTTAGCATGAGTAATGTGCTCTCCCCTGCTTTCACTAATAAACAGGAGCAGCCTGGTGAATGTGTACCTCGCCTCTGAGGCACATGTCCCTGGCTTGGCTCATCCTACCTTGTGCTTCTATAAACCTGAGGTTCTGTTTTCTGCAAGAGCAAAATTCTGGGAGTCAGCACCAAAAGGCAGTTATTTAGTAAATGAATGCTGCTATCCCAGACCTACCATGGCCATAGCTGTGCAATTTCAAGGAAAACACCAATGCTGGAAATAGCATGAGTATAAAGTGTCTTTTACTCTAATCCGTTCTGTAAAGAGGTTTATCCTAGCAAGACAGACACTTAACAGGGCATGACTGCAAAGTCTGCCTGACAAACATTATCTTTTTACACTGATTAACGCTGAGCAGAACCCAACAACCTAGATAATTTAGATACCTCAGACACTATCTAACTGTCCAGTTCCAAGAGTTCTCTTGTATTACCTCACGTTACTTTCAGTAGCTTGCTTGCTATAGCTGCAAACCAAAGCTGATAACTACTACTAGCTGAGCTAAATTATCCAGTTCCAACTAGCACCCAACTCCACAGAAGCTAATTCATTCTTCTTCTCATACTAGGTTACAGTGGCTGGCTGCTTCCAGGATGTCAACTAGCTATTAAACACTTGAGTACTATCGACTGCACTAACCCTGAGCTAAAAACACCAACAGTCAGTAAACCATTTCTAAGATGCTGACTGAATAGGTATAACTTAAAAAAAAATCTTGTATAGGCATAGTTCTAAGCATGCTCTCCCCATTTCATTATGTTAAATGGGTAGGTTGCAAGGAATGAACAGCAGGTCTTTATAATTTTTTTCTACCTTGCTTCAGAGATGCAAAACGGTAGTTTTGACAGTCAATCTGAACAAAAAAATAAAAAAGGCTGAGAGAGACTTCAATTTCTTAGAGTTGGAGTCGGACTTCTTTTTTGTCTGCATTACATCTGACTCGTTAAAAGAAAATCATATTTATCGAGAAAGAAACTATTTAGGATCACTGAACTAAATTAAAAAACAAAACCAAATCAGATATGTCATTATCATCAACTAATATGAGTCACAAAATTCATCTGTTGAAGCTCTGGATGTCTATTAATAGTTTCACAAATTTGTTTGGAGATGCATTTGAGCAGAGTATGGAATTGAAGTTACAACTGAAAATACTCAGAGAGGAAACTGGGTAACCCCATACTCTAAAGCCAACGCTCATACTCAAAGCCTCCTCAGTACTGAAGGGTGTGCCTGCTTCCCACTGTTGGCAAATTAGCTGCACAATGATACTGTTCATCTCTGGAGGAATAGCCACCTTAATTAAACTGTCTGATACTACATCAGGATTAAAAGAGCTAGTCTAGCAAACATTAAATATTTACTACAAAGTGCACATGATATCTGGCGCAGTGACAGTTCTGCAGTGCTGTGCAGCCTTTTTTTTTTTTCCTTCACGTTGGGTAGTCCTTAATTGCAAGTGCCCGTAGTACACACATCACAGAAATCTGCAAGAGCCTCATTCTCAGCAGGTGAAGTAGCTGAATGCATGAAAATGGTGCGGAAGTGAAGACAGCAAAGCACCTCCTGGCAAGTAACAGCAACAACTGCTTTCTGGTCATTACACTTCCTCTCTGTGAACATCTGCCATATACAACAGGAATTATTCATGGTTATGGAACTCCACAGATGACCAAAAAAAAAAAAAAAAGTGAAATTTGGTACCCAACTTTAAAGCAAAACCAAAAAATAAACCTCTAGATTTAAAGTGTGTGTTTACACACTTTAAAGATAGGTGTCTACAGGCTTAAAATCCCTATATTATTTCCAAGGATAATGGTTGATGTCCCAAAGGCTTTCTTCCCCATTCGTTCTACCAATTATCATTCCGGAGAAGCAGCTGGTGAAAACAAGGCCTCAATTTACTCCAGCTTCTCCAGATGAAACCAAGGAGCAACTGCTCCAAAGTTCGATTTGATTTGACCAAGGTCAAAACTGATCCCCTACTCTGCAGCTCAACAAACTTCAGTTGTGAAGGAGCAGCAAATAATCATCTAAGTAGAACACACCCTGCCACCTCAAGCCTGTGGCTTTCATTTTCAAGGCAATGGAGCACGCATACTAGCTGGAGAAATCCACTGCCTTACCAATTTTCTTTGTATTCAAGTAGATTAGAGAGTTGTTACACAATGTATACTAAGACCCTATTAGATGCTGGACTGTGTATTTAGATGCTATCATTCCCAAAACAGGGACTTCTTTTATAAGCTGAGGTATAACCTGGAGTGTGTGGAACCGTAACACTTGACTGGACATACTGCGTATCTCCTACTCCTCACATTCCGCTACAACCTGCTGCTTTCTACAATCCTTCAGAAGTGTCATTTTACAAGACTTTGAAATGCCTCTTCTGCCCTCTCTATCCACTGCCACTCCCTCTGACCTTTCTTTGCCAACTGCCCCTTTTGTTTATTCGAAGGAGAATTATGATTTCCACATCAGTCAGTAACGCAGTAAGGAAGTTGTTTTAGGACTTAAGCCAGCTGGAAGTAATTATTTACATGAATTCTCTACTTAGAACTCTACCAATATTCAAATGATAGATATTAAATGTAAAAATCAGCATCTTACAGCTGTAGATAAGCTACTGCATTTTGTGCAAGGTAGTCTGTCAGCATTAGCTGTTTGATGGTGACTGCAAAAATGAAAAATGAGTACACTAAAAACTGTACTGCGTATTTAGTGCATATTTCAGGGGACACAGAGACTCACTATAATCAATCACTCTAACTTCTGCTAAAGTTCTGAAAAGCACCTTTCACTGTAACTTTCTCTGGTTACCGCTTTCCACCTGTCAATGCAACCTGGATATTCAGTATTCTACTACAAGAAAGAAATCACAGGTAAATCTGAAGATAAGTAAAAATTACACAGACAATGTACTTGGACCTTCCTGCTGCAAATCAGCTTTGAAGAACCATCCTGACAGCCAAGCAGCAATGTTTCTGTAATTTTGTAAACTGTCTGAACTGTAGACTTTGTACAGCAATAGATGCTTTCTAATAACTTACAGTGAACGTCAAAGACAACTGGCTCAGACTGTATTGTTTTCTGGCCAGATGGTCCATAATATGTCACAACACAGGAAAACTTGGCATTTGCATCTTCCTTTGTTGGCATGTACTGAAGAGATGATGTCATGGTGAAGAGTCCAGTTGATTTGTCCACAATTTTTTGCAAATTTATGACCACAACTGAAAAAGAAATACTGTTTCAGTGTCACACAGACAGAATTTGCAACCTTTTCCCCACATTTTATTGCCTGCTCTGTATTTGTTATCAGGCTGCAAACATTCAAGCAACATGACAAATTACCCAAGAGACCATACAGCTTTCCTCTAATATTGCCACTGACATCTACCAGGAACATTTTATCAACAACATACTCCTTATATACGGTACATTTTAAATCAAATAAAACAAACAAACAAACAAACAAAACCTCAAACCCTAACTGCAAACTGGTGGGGTTTTTAATACAAATTTCAGCTTAATCTGTAAGAGAGAAAGAAGGCCTCAAAAATGCTGGCAAAACCAATTTTTAGGATCAAATTTATAACTTAATTCTGTAAGCATTCTCTATGTTATGGAAAGTAAAATATTGTCATCTCATCAGCCTGTCAAAATCAAAGTTGGAAGGAAGAGAAAAAAATACATGTTGTTCTGAAATATCCTGAAAAATAAGTATCTGTATAAGGAGATGATGACCTACATGGTCCAAAAGACAATACTGGACAGGTGTGAAATTGAGACAGTTAAAACCTCGTAAGAAGTTGGAAATTAGATACAGGTTTCTAGTAGCTACACAGGCTCAAGAATAGCTTTGCAGTAACATTAACAAACGCAACCCTCCTTCCCATGATGTGGTTTTAAAGATGAAACTGAGAGAGATTATATGGCATAGCTTGGGTGCTCTGAAAAGCCTAGAAGTTTACTCATATGGAAAGATGTAACTGAAAGGAGCTTTTCTCAAAGGAACAATACATTAGACTAAAGTAGAGCAACTCTTATAAACATAGTTCCTCATGCATACCCGTGTCTGTGGATTCAGGGACATCGGCCATTATTGAAACGTACCTTCTTCCATGGGCTGCAAAAGTCTCCCGTTTCTGTACCACGTAACATTGCCTTCAGGATAACTATCTCTTGCAACGCATTCCCCAAGCTGCAAAACAGACAGGAATTAGTCACTGTTTTTCTCCACTATGTTTTAACATAATTCTATTTTTGCTTATGCTGCTTTGGGTAAAAATTTATAGAAAATACAAATGCTTAACCCCAACCTGTTTTCTTAAATAGGACAAATGCCATCAGCGAGGCTTAAGTACAATTTCGAAGAGGGTTTGGTGGTGGGTCTGAGATCAGGATGTCCCCTGTTTGCAGGATGGGGCAGGGCTAATACAGTAGTGGGGAGTGCTCTGCGCTCAGCCTGGCCATGGACCACGATCTCTCACAGGTGGGTGTGCACGCACGCACACACACACCCTCTCCCAGCCTCAGTCCATCACCTCTCTCCATTCTGACTGTGAAGGGACTTCAGGCAGCTGTCAGGCACGTAGCTTTGAGGGAGAATGCTGCTCTTACCATTTGTAGCTTCTCTGTTTCTAAGAACTCTGCTCGATGTAAGATTTCTGGTTGAGAGGGTTGTTCTAAAACATAAATAGAAATACTAGTGAAGGGAGCAAAAACAGCTGTTTGAAAAACAAAAAGTTATTAAAAGATATATGTACTTTGAGACTGTATAGAACAATCCGGCCTGGTATAGTCTTAGCTATGTTTGTCATTAAAAAAAGAAAAAGTGAGATACTTCTACCTCAATATTAGCCAAATGGATTGAAAAGGAAAAAACAATCACCTTAAAATGTGTCATATCTTCCATAATGGATTTCATGCATTTTGACAATATATATTTTAGCCTGGCGGACTAGTTCAGCACCTGGGAGGAGAGAACCTGATCTGATCTACCTGATTTATATGATACACATGCTGGAGAAGGAACCAGTGGTACAGAAACTACAGCAATAGAAAAGCGGCTTTACTGTGGATATTACTGTAGCTGAGCTGTCACATTATAAAGGAACAAATTCAACCCAATAATTCTTCTAATGTTTATTTTTCATAACTGGGATTGTTACATTTAAGAAATTTGGATGATGGAGATAAGTGTAATTACTTTAACTGATTCTGAGTTAGTTATGACTCTCTTAAAAAAAATAAACTTTTTCTTCAGTGCTTGTATGTCTTCTTATTTACTTTTATTGTGGTAGATGGACCTCTTAGCTTGCCAAAGTGAGGATCTATCAGTGTTTCCATCATCCAAGACTACTTTCTAGAGACTATATAACTTCTCTGTTAAAATAGTTTGGCCTGCAGCCCGGAATGCAAATTTTTATCTCCAAAAGAGACAGTTTTCCCCACAATTTTAAAAGAAAAGGGGAAGAGTAAAGGGAAAAAAACATAAATCAGTGTTTATACAGTCGAAGAAAGCCTCTACTCCCTAGCTATACTGCTTAAATAAGCATACATATATATTTTTACAGACTGAAACATTCTTAACCATGCCAGCTTACAGAACCTTTTTCCCAAATCAAGCTCCCTATGAAATAATCTATGTATGTCAGTAATCCCAGCTCAAAGTGAACTTCACACTGTCTTGCCAAAATCTCTACACACTGATGAAGTTACTAATGTGAAGGTGTACTTGCTCCTGCTGCCACAGAGACAGCAAGCCTACATGTTTCTACAATAATCCACTTGCGCTGCGTACATGTATGTGTGTGTATGTGTGTTTGTGTGTACACAAACACACATATATTCTTTGCTTTTAAGACTACACCAGGGTGGAACAAGAACAGCTCAAAAGGGAAATGAAAGGCAACAAAAGCAGCTATTCATTTAATATTTTCAAACAACTTTGCTTGTGGCAAAAAGAAAAAAAAACAAACAAAAGAAATAGTCACAGCTACACACCAAAACCATCACAGTTTCTTCAAAGGGATAGTAAAGATTTTTATTTTTAATTTTATTTAAAAGATGTGTGCATGTTTTGTGTCTCTTCTGTTAGTTTTAAAGGAAAAAGGTTAACCTGTTTTCTCTAAGAACCTGTCGAGGACAAAACATTTTCATGTCAATTCAAGCAAATGGGGTTTTACATGACCATTAACAGGCCTTCTGGTTCAGATTTTCATGTCCCATAAACAGACACAGTCAGCCGCCTGTCACAGTCACCAGCTGATCAAACCACAAATCGCCCCCCCACCTCGGCTGTGCTTCCTTTCATATCATCTCCCCCAGGACCAGTTTGAGCAGATCTATTTGGACCCCCCACCCTGCAATGCTTCTACCGAGGGGCCTCCTGCTCCGCGGCCCCTGCATGGCTCTCCCTATTTTGGGTGCTCTGGTGACCGAGTAGATGCTCCAGTTGAGAGGCCACCACCTGCTCTCCCAGAGCCACCTCCGAACGGCAACACCTGCTGCCAAATCCCCACCACTGCAGCACATGCACCAAGTAGTTCACTAGAAAAGACCTACTTGGCATTTACTAGCGCAACATCTGAAGCAAGAAGGAATTTTAAATTTGGCAGCAGCAGAGTCCACTTCGGTGGGTTTGCAACTTCAGCACACTGCGTATCTTTCAACTTAAGAGCCTGCCAGAGTATTTCGCAACTCTATATAGATCCTATAATAGGGGGGAAAAGAGCTCACTGCCTGCAAAAGCCAGGCATCGGTGTAGCAGGACAGCAGCTGATGTCCGCCAGGCTGCTCTGCTTTGGAAACTCTAGCCATTTAATTCCCGAAAAAAAGATGCTGACAGGATCCATCTGGAAAGCTGGTAGAGCTTGTTTGAGTAGTCCAGTGAGTGAGATTAGCAGGTGGTACCTGTGCAATGAGCCATTTCAGCTCGTTAGTTCTGAGTTAATCAGGTAGCACAGCTGAGGACCTGACAAGCTCCAGTGAAACCCAGCATCACTCATGGCTTCTGGGATACAGCTGAGTTTCAGGTGCACAAAATTTTGGTTTATGAGGGTTGGCACAGCTGCAGCCTAGTTCTTTATCTGTAGTTCAAGGAGTTGGAGACTCCACTGGTTAAATAAATGAAGCCTGCAGGCTACTCTTAACTCTTTCATAGTTAGTTCAAACAAGCAAGCAGCAATAAAAAATGAAACTCCAAAAACCAGACTCAAGGAAGTTAAATGTAAATAATGTTAAGAGAATCCTAAAGTTGTGAACTCAAGATGAAAAACTGCAAAGATAATTTTTTCGTGCAGTGCTAAGTCAGCCACATTACATACATGGCATCCTCTATTCTTATCCTCCTTAGAAAACAGAAGCTTTCTCTATTAGTATTAATGCATACAATAAAACATACAAGCTGTGCTCCACGGCTGAGTTAGCATTGTGTTAATATTTCGTACAGTACACAGTAATACTAGCAGTTATCATTCATTTCACCATATACCACTGTCTCATCTACATATTTACTGCTGTGCGATAAGTAAACATAATTCTTTATCATTTTCTTTGAAGCACTGTGGTTACTATGCATGCTCTGAGCACACTCCTCCCTGTTGTCATTAATTCAATTGCTCTTGCAGTCAAATTGAAAGTGAAACGAGGGATAGGAATTACTGTTGACTCCTAATCTAGCTTCAAACTCATTTATGCCACTGACAAACTTTCGCCTTGACACCACCAACTCCCTGACACCTCCTCCCTGAGAGAAGAGTACGGGTGGCCAACCAAAACACGAATTCATGTTTTTCAAGCAGAAGTGCGTGCTGTTTGAAACTGCCCACTGCTGCAAGCCACGCGTTCCCACGGCACAGACTTACTTTGACTGTGTGTATCTGCATCTGAAGAGCAACAAAGGCCAAAAAAAGCCAAATAAAAACGTGAAGCTGAGGGAGACACCCACTGCGGCCACAGGGCAGCATTTACCAACACTAACCTGAGCCTCAGCAGACCCGCACCCCTAAAAAGGAGTAACGGACACCTCCACAAGCGGAGTCAGGGTTTGAGGGATTGCGTGCCCGCTCTGAAGCAGCGCCAGGGAGAGCCCAGGTTTGTGCAGGCTCCTGCGCAAGCTCGGGGCAGGACTGGGCCTCAGAGCGCTGGGCCCGGCGCTGCCGGTCGTCGGTTTGTAGCGATACCGAACGCTAATTAACTTCGCCGCGCTCTACAAGAGAACAGCAGACTGGTCTTCCTCCTGATACTTCAACAGGGGGCAAAATGAAGCGTTTGGAGCTAGCAACTCATTTTCCAGCCTCTCGCTTGCTCACTCACAGCTCATACCCGTTGCTTACTAGCTGCTTGGAACTGGTGTAAACCTCTCCACTGATCTAATCCTGCAGACTGCACACAGCTAACGCTTCCCTCCTGCAGAAAAATTTGCTCGGAGAACAAATGGAAAATAATCAGTGCTAATTTTACTTTTTTCATTTCCAAGGCCAAATGACATCACACAAGTGAATCATTATCAAAGCCTAAAATTCTCTTTGAGCCAGCACTTATCATGAATAAACTGCAAGTGCAGGCAGTCCTGTTACGTAAATGCCACCAGTAGATTACATTTTTGAAAGCTGCAGAAATTTGCTAGTTTTAGTAATTTACTCAGCAAAACTTACTTTCTTGGCTTTAATCTTTCCCTTAAACAAAAGTTTCTGTAATTTACAATTCAGATGCTGATGAATATTAACAGTAGTAACAACTAGATTTACTTACTGAAGACTTTGACTATCGTTGGCTCTTCAGAAACATCGTCTTCTGTAACTAGCATACATACAAATCTCTTTTCATCACTGATTCTTGCATTCTTGATGGATAATGTATAGTTTTCTGAGAGACTCAACCTGTCTTTGTAGTCTGGTACATCATCATACTGTACATTTTTTTTTGTTGATGATCTGAAGGCAATAAATACTGGAGATCCATTTGGCATTTCCTATAACAAAAGGATAAACACCTCTATTTTGCATAAATACTCATTTAGAAATCCCCAAAGATCTGCAATTGGTATAAATTTATGATTTAAAAAAATCTGAAAACTACATCAAATGGCTTTTTTCATGATTAATTTCTGCTGTACAAACAAGAAATTCAGTGTAATACAAGAGCTAGTTTAAGACTGCTGTGGTACACATTGAGAATATCATCAGTAGGAATAATTTCAATCCTTTAGCTCAAAGTTGGCATAGCATAGGGCCTTCTCGGATGAAGGCTGGTGGTTCTGGCACCACCTGCCTCTGTCTGTATGAAGAAGTATTTGAATTAGAAGCATTAGTGAACTAGGCTCAAAAGCTTCATTTTCCTTTATTTTCATAATTGTTTTACATATTCATATTGTTTGTCTGGCATATTCAGACTTCATTTCAAATGTAGGATTTAATCAGGCATAACTGCCTATTTTATTCTAAATTAGTTTTTAGCTTTTTTTTTTTTCCTTTGTTATTAAAGGACCCAAGAGCTTGTGACATGGGAATATACATACAATCAAATATTGTTATTTATGCATCTCAGGATAATCTGCAAAATATCATTTTCTATACATCCTCTTTATATTAATAAGCATAGTTGCTATCCTAAGAAGGAATACAAAGCTGACAGCCTTGCACAAAGCTACCAGATAAAAAATTTATTTTTATGAGAGATGAAGTTACAGGCTGAGTTCTGCAAGGCTTCATTTCCCACCGTCCCTACACACACACAGAGAGCGGGGACAGACACTGTCTGCCTTTAAATAAAGTAAGGTGAAAGGTTGACGCCATCTTTATGTTCAGTATTGTGCTGGGGGCTGGAAGAGGTTTTCGTTCCCTTTTATCCCTTGCACCTTGCAGCACTGATGCGAGTAGTGTTCCCAACACAATACCTCAGCTTGACTGCAGAACCCACAAAAGCATGACAATGCCGTGACAAGAGATGAGCAGTGTCAGAGCCGGGCAGGGAGCAGGAGGCAACAGCTAATGTGATGTTCAAATTCCCTTACAGTCTTTCTCCCGCTCCCACTTTTAACTCTTGTAGTACTGTAGATGTCTGACACAGGAAAGAAAGCTTTGCCTTGACTCAACACACACAAAGTTGGCTGTCAAGTGCAAACAAGCTCTTAACTCCATAAGTGTACCTGGCAGATGAGCATGCACAGGTAGATGCTCACAGGAGCAAGACATGCTCCTGCCGTGGTGCAAGGCTCCCAGCACCCCCGGGCTCCTCCCACCAAACCAAATTGCTACTCCCAAGGCAGCAGAGCAGAAAATTGAGCTCCTCCTTCTTTCAATTAAATAATCACCCTACCAAAAAACCTAAACCAAACCTTCCCTCTGCTAAAAACAAGTGTTGACATGCTGGGAGCTGCCCTGGAAGAATGGGTATCACTTTCACGGGGTTGTGTGGGCTGTGTCAACAATTTCATGCAATAGCAACTGGACAGGCTTTTCTGCACATTAGGTTTCATGTCACTTTCCATTTAGGAGAAGCTATAATGTCCCATTTGCTGCTTGGTATTTGTCTGAGATGAGCAATCCAAATGCACCAGCAAGAGATAATGCATTTCTTTTTCTCAGAATAGCCTTGCATCTTCATACAGATGGACTTCTTCCCAAGAAAAGTCAGCAGACTAAAAAGCACATTGAAAAATGTAGACCTTGCATCTTCTGATTGCTTATATGAAACAGTTTCTCTGTCCCTTTTAGGGAAACATCCTCCATAGACTTCTGACTTCAATTCTCAAAACATGTTTGTGGTGCAGGAACTCCTGAGCTGATGAGGGCTGCAAAAGCTGCAAGCTTCCAGGTCCAAGGGAAGGAGCCAGGGGTATTATGAAACATCCCCAGTGGCAGACCAGTCTGCTGTGAAATAGGCAGGTGGATGCCATTTAAAAAGAGAAAGAGAGAACTATGTAATTTTAAATCCACTGTGAGAGTAAACAGCACCTGTTGCTGGTAACACTTTGGTTTGAGCATGAGAAGAGATGTAGATAGATGAACATCTACAGTAGCAGGAAGACTAGCTGTCCCAGTGTCAGTCTGAGAAGGGTTTTGTTATGCTGGCAGTTTCTTCCACACAGGTTTCCAGGTTGCATTTGACTATGATATGCCTATTCTCCTTTTGGCCCTGGAAACCGATCACATATAGGAGAAGCACACCCTGCGGTGTTCCTGCTGCAGGCTGACTGAGACAACCAGGAGAGCATTGCCATTTTTGCCTCTGCTCTCCACGCGCCAGAAACGGCAGAGCAAAACCACCAGCAACTCTACTAAGGTCAGCTCAGCCCTCTGCTTTGCTTTGCTGTGTATTAAACCCACCGAAGCATGGGACAGTACTGAGTGACTGTCAGATCAACAAGACCCAGGGACAGCACTTCCCAGGGATGAAGCACGCGCTGCTTCAGGCAACCCACTTCAAAAGTATGCAAATGTTCAACGATGGCTCTGTCAAGCGAGTGAAACATCACTGGGTAAACATGCCAGACCTCTAAATCCACGTTGGCAGAGAACTCCCGAATAATTATTTCTCTTGAACAACGAGATTAATTCCTCAAACCTCTAATCTACGGCAGAAATTATGCAGATTCGAATCTTGCAGTCTTACAAACACAGGAATGAATGTCTTCGTACCCGAGGCAGAAACCCTATTGATTGGAGTCTTGTAATCACACACACAAAAAATACACATCATCTTATACCAGCTCTAATGAATGTAAAGGTAAGCTATACTTACATATTTCCATTTTCCAAACATAAGACCATCTGGTACTTCTAGACGACAAGGCATAGTAATAGTATCTCCATATACTGCATTTACTGTGTACAATCCCAGAGCTAGAGCAGAAACAGAAAGGGAGGAAACAATTTTAAGCATTTTCTTGAATTTCCATATTCTAGCTAATGTTTGGTTCACAGCTATTACAAAAGCAGAGCCATGTCACTTGTAAATGGATATTTTCCAGTGTATAGGATTTATCCTCAAACCTCTGACAAAACAGGATTCCTGTCACTAAATTTTCTTATTAAATATTATGACCTTTTTGGACCCATGTTTTCTGCTGCAGTAACTGGGAGCCAATGGTTTTTCAGACAGGACTGCACCCACTCAACTGGATGAACACGTACGCTACAATCAGTATACACAGCTATCATCCCAAACTTAAAATCTGAAAAGGAAAAACACTAAACCTTTATTTTCTTCATCTGCAAAACCACCCATTTCTGCCTGGAGAGGTTATGTTGCAATGCAGTATTTGTGAGGAGGCCAGCAGACAAGTGATATTCTGACTGCTGCACTACATAAACATTCAGAAAAGGAGGAGAGTGCTGGGTTCCCTTAAACCTGAGAAAAAGATTAGTATGCATATTTAAGTTTTGGAAAAATGAAGTGAAATACTTCTATGAATTATTTAAGAATAGCTTTTTTGGAAACCTGAGCACAATGTTATTGTGCTAATGCACACAAATTTACAGAATAAAACTGACCCACTTATTTTCATTGTCCAAAACATGTGAATTGAACAAAACCAACAGACCTTCAAGTGCTGAAACGTTAAAATGCAAGGAAATTTAAAGGGGAAGATGTTACAGCTTGGTGCATTTGCTATAACGCAACATTGTTTTGCTCCTATTTTCCATGGTTCCCCCTGCTCTTGGTAATGCTCACAGCTCCTTCGACTGGAGGGAGCTTGCCTGGTGTCACTAAGCAAGTGCCCTGGCTGTCTATTCTCACCCACACATCTGTGGCTTTTCTCAGAGTCTTCTGCCCAGAGACTCAAGATCTCCCCCCTTTGCTCTCTCTTCATTTGCAACTGGAGCTACAAAATCAAATGCTTGCTGCCAAAGAAACCTTATTTAAGAGAGAGCAGTAGGATGCTGGTGATGTAGCCAGGGCCACAAAAACACCCAGGCTTCTTAGAGACGTTAATTTTTCCAGAGATTCAGACCTTCTTGCTAGAGCTGGAAAAAGCAAACCTGTACCCATGCCCCTCTGAAAGACTGGAGCTGCAGACCCCGTATCTTTTCCTGAGTCCCGAGGTGGGGATGACCTGAGAATTCTCTTGCTTTCTGCATGTGTGCACTCTGTAGGGAGGTTTTTCCAAGGGATTTTTTTTTTCTTTAAACAAAACCATGTATTTTCAAAGAGCCAAGCGCTGAATTCCTTGCCTAGAATTTAAATTAGAAAGATTCCTGAGCATTGTCCTCAGGTGAGGACTTCAGAACACACTGTTAGCACCAGCTCGTATTTATCATTTGTATCATAGTGACAATCAGGCTGTGATTGGTGTGGTGTGGTACTGAACAAACAAACAGTATTCCAAAATCCTGCTTTAGAGAAGCTTACAACCTAGACGGCATCTCATGGTAAGGCAGAGGAGGTGGCAAGCAGGCTGGAGCTCAATGGACTGAAGGAACACAGGAGATAACAGGCACCACTACCCACATATATCTTAAAATTTCTTTCCTTCAAACCACTCATTTTCCACTAAACAACCAGTAATCTTTCCCTGAACCTGTCATATAATTACTCACAGATGTAGTTTAGGTACATCATTCATACTGTAAGAAGGACTGCATGCTCTAATATGCTGTACTGTTTAGGCAGACCAGCCGCTTCTGAAATTACAATATCAGTCGGTCCACTAGATGGTGCTCAGTAAGTGCAATCTCTAAAAATGAAACAAAAATTTTTTTGAAGAAATCAGCTAACTTCAATTTTATTCAAATACGACCTATGCTTTACGAAATCAAACTATAAATGGAAGTAAAAGTCAAAGCTGGAACAAATTCTTCCCTTGGCCCTCTCTTGCTCTCATCCTCATTCTGATCTCCAGGAGGGGGACAAAGCAACTTTGGCTTCGCAAGTTGAATCCCAATTTTGATTTCTGCTAGAGCTAGAAAAAACAGTCCTTTTTGGGTCCTCTCTCCCATGGGTGCAAAATCACAAAAGACTTGCAAATATATATTTGATTAGTAAGCTGGTTAGTACCAGTTCAAATTCCGGTCAAGTGTTGTTTAGTAATTTGAAATTCTGTAATGGTATTTTGCATCCCATGGAAAACCAGAAACTGTTCCTCCTGCTAGGAGATATTCCCTGTCATGAGGGGAAAACAAAATGACCCTGTGGGATCTGTAATGTTGTTCTCTCCTAGACACCCGTTTAACCCCTGCAAGTTGCTAAGGTAACAAGTATACCCTACCAAAGACTTGACAAAGCCTCAACAGCGTGAATGAAACTGTTTCTAGAAAGGCTTAACATTTGCAGCATTCAGAGCAGGTTAATTGTTGAACAGCCTGATAAAGAGAATGACTGGCCTCTGATTTTAGAACTCTTTCATCTGAAAAGCATTCCTTAAGATGGACAACTCCCCCTGCAAAACCAGGTCTTGCCATAAATTCTGCCTAAACTAAAATAATATCGCTTTCTAGGAATTTGTTAACACAGAACCAGAAAGACACAGGTTTTAATTTATACACAGAAAAATGGTCCTTGCAAGAAAACAAGAGGTCCTTCTATAGAATTTTCTCTTTCCACTTCTGTAGCAATAAATATAAGACATTTAAGAAGTGCAAATTATTTGAGTAACTGCAAACTTTCACTGCAGGAACTGCAGTAATCTTCACAAAACAACTTTGAAAACCTATGCATTTAAGAGAAAAACAAAAAATCATCTCAAATTTGGAAATTCCTCTCTCTGTTGCTATTAGATATATTTGTAAAATGGTGGGATGAAGAAGAGAAGAAAATAATTGCTTAATGATATGACAAGTGCTTACCATCAAACATCATTTTCTGAGAGCCCTTTACATAGTTCTCAGCTCATTGTATGAAAATGAAAGCAGGATCTACAAATGCATAACAAATTGCTCCATGCCCTGACACAACACAGGGTCAGTGTCAAGGCCTTCATATCTCATTAACTGCAGGAGGGTGCAAAGGCAACCGTAGGGAATGACACTACAAGAAATCACTGGACACCATGCCCTGCCTTGCTGTATTTCTCATGCACCTTCCTGTAGCTAATTAAGAGCTCAGCCAGCTCCCCTGCATACTTTTCAGATGTTGCCTTCTAAAACTGAGCCAGCACTGTCAGTAACAACACTAATTCAGAGACTGAATCTCATCCCACATATGCTGGGAGAGGCTCTATTTGAACTTGCTATGATTTACACCTATATACCAGATTAATCCAGATCACTTTCCTTCCATGTCTTTCTATACAGGTTTGAGCAGGCTGAGGCTTAACTAATTTTCCCCTCTTTGATCCAGTGCTGAAGAAACTCTGAGCAAGATTAAACCTTTCCATGTAGGTTCAGACATGGTAAGAAAGCAGCAGCATGAGGAGGTATGATGACTCAGAGAAAGACCCCAGCAGGACACTGCTAAATTGAGATGGCATTTGCTGTTGATGCTTTGAATTACAGTACTTTCCACATGCCCATAGCAGTGCTAACTGGCATCCTTCTTTGTCCCCCTCTCTGCTTCTGTTTCATATGGGGAGAAACAAACAGTACCCACATATCTGGATGACAAAGCTAAAAAATCTGACTACCTGATCAGAGGCTTAAAGGCAGAGGAGGTACTGTTATTGTAGATCCTCACTAAGAGTATACGATGCGGGTCATAACTTAGTTTAATTATTATTTTTAAATCAATGGGATCAGATAAAGAGGAATGGATATAAGGTGAATCTATAAAAATCAGGAAGCTGATGTTTCTCCAAGGAAATAACAAGCTGTTGGAAGCACGTGGAAAGCAATGGAAAACTGGGCAGCTGAACCTCCCTCAATACCCTGGAATCCACTGATTAAAATGATTAAATGCTGTTTTACATCTACAGAGATGTCCTGTATTTCCCTTCCACACCTAATTTTTTACTGCTGATGCTTCTGTACCAGCAGGTTCAACAATGATGCTTTCTATTACATTTTCTGGACCCAAGGAGCAAGGTCTCATTACCAGAGAACAGCAGGACATGTTGGCTGCTATGGCTCTTTGCAGCAATCAGCAGCAGTGACCAGGGGAGGTCAATTAGCAGCTTCTGGAATGGAAGTGTCCAAACCCAAGAGCTATTATGACTATTTAGCACCTACTTTAGAAATTATAGTTATCTACTTTGGAAACTGTAAATTAGGATTAGCACTTCAAATCTTTACTTGAGGTTTTGGTCTTCCCATTTCACCTCCGTGTAGCCCAGATTAGCTTGTACTTAATACTTTGTGGGAGGTTAAAAGCTTTGCCTCATGAAATAAATATTTTATTAAGTTGCTTGCTATTCACTCTGAAATAGCAACAGGCAGATTTTTCTCTCTGCCTTACACTTCCTAAAGGGATTTCAGCTATATAGGCATACACATAGGTCCTCTTGAGCATCCACTTAGGTACCTGCCCAAGTGGTTGGTACCAGACTAAATGATTTCCATTAGGAAACATCAGTATTTCACAAAAACAACATGTTCTTAAGATCAGGAAGTCATTTTAGAATCACAGAATCATTTTGGTTGGAAAAGACCCTTAAGATCATAGAGTCCAACTGTAAACCTAACACTGCCAAGTCCACCACTAAACCATGTCCAGAAATGTCAGGTCTACAGGACTTTTAAAGATCTCCAGGGAGGGTGACTCAACCACTTCCCTGGGCAGCCTGTTCCAATGCCTGACAACCCTTTCAGTGAAGTAACTTTTTGTAATATCCAATCTAACCCCTCTGCCCCCCCCGGCACAACTTGAGACCATTTCCTGACACCCATCCCACTACAATCTCCTTTCAGGTAGTTGTAGAGAGCAATAAGATTTCCTCTCAGCCTCCTTTTCTCCAGGCTAAACAACGCCA